AGGAAAGGCATTTGCCCGATCGACCTACGTAAAACGACTTCCACGCTACGGATCGAAATGACATCATCGATAAATTAACGGTGATGTCATCGTTCTCCTCCGGTGCTGCTATTCCAACACAACCTCGACGTAAGGCACGAGCGACCTGAGGCTGTCAGAGGATAAGCGAAGGCAAGCGAGGGTAAGGTGTGACGCGATCGTGACATCTATCATTCTTCCTCTCGATCGCGTACCACCGCCGCGATTCGCCTTCGTTCTTCTTTCCTCGAGCTCTGCTGCTGTGGGTATAATCGCCCTGTAGTAGCTTCCTACTTGCCCAAAATACTTTGTACCTGTCCCTCTTTGCCGCAATTCGCCCTGGATTCGCACTTTCCTTGTCCCTTTGTCGCGTACTACCGCCACCCGCATACCACGTCTGGCCTTTTCTTCTTCACTTTCCCTGAGGACTGCTACCGCGTCTCACGCGTAGTGCTCTTTTCGTACTTCTTTGCATTTCTAGACCCTTCTGGATCCCGTACTTCTAGATCTCTCCTGGTGGTTCCCTCGCAACACCTACACTTTCCCGGTCCGATTTGCTTCACGTTTCGATGTTACCGAGCGCCTCGGTCTCACAGGAGAACATCTCAGAGGAGGAACATTGCAGACAAGTCTTATTTGGCGCGTTTCTATCCCAGTGAGTATGTCAAGTTCCTTTGCGACCCCTTTGGCTGGCAGCCCCATCTCTTTCTTCCTGCTTCTTTCTTTGCTTGTTTGCTGGCGTGGGGGCATTCTATTGCGGGACATGCTGCATAGATGCGTCCAGCTCCGTTCGGCACTTCGAGAGCCCGGTCAGCCCAGGCTGCCGTGTCCTTTCTGTCATTACTGCTTCCCGTATCGTCTTTCGCCCGCGCGCCAGCACACAGCTTTGCCACGCTTCAAATCCCCCTTCTGACTCCCCCTTCCCTCACTGTTTTCTTTATCTCTTCATCTGATGCGCACATATGCGCCTTTTCCTCCGCGCATGCCGATAATGTGCATCCCGCGTAATGGCGTCTACCTTCGGTCCACCGCAGATTGTACGCCGCGCGCGCTTCTTCGGCGCCGATCTCATCGCCGGCCAGTCTCAGTGCTTCACATATTATTTCGTCCTCAATTTTGGGGCCCCGTTTCTCCTGCATCATAGCGCACCGCGCCTGATCGTATCCCGTGAAGCGCTGCCTCCATTTGCCCACGTCCCGAATGCCCTAAGGACCTTGTACACTTTTTCTTCACTACCCTCATCTCCAAATAATAAATCAAACGTAGAATTTTTGCGTCCCCTCCATTCACTGCCAGCATGTCAAGTTGACTCGCAGCATTATTGATGTTTTGCGGTTCGACCAGTGTAATTATTTCGCACTCCTCCTGGGGTTCAATAAATAAAATACAAGTCGGGTGTGGTGCAGGTTACACATCAACTGCTCGTGCTCCTCCACTGACATAGCTGTGAGCTGAAGTCCGGGTTCGACTCCCCGCATCTGAGCTTGCTTTCCGGGAAGAAAATATTTTTCTCGCCACTTTCAATTGGAGCAACCAAGTAGAGCACTTTACTCTCCTGTTTGGATGCGTTACAAGGTCACCACTGGTATTTGCCTGCGGCCCTGCGGGCATGGCTGGCGCGATCGAATGTCTCCGAGGCCACTTAATTACAATGCGATGGATTTCGTACTCCTCCTCTCGGTTCAATGAATGGACTTTAACTCGGATGTGGTACACGGTGCACGTCAACGTCAAATAAGTCTGCATCTTGTACTGTGCTGAAGTCCGGGGTTCGACTCCCCGCATCCGAGCTATAACGGTGCTCGATACCTCTTTTTTTTCTGGCTTGATAAGATTTTTTGCCACCCGCATCTAGAGAGCAGATGCAGTTGTCGCGCGCTTTCAAGAACCAGAAGCGGTTCTGCGCGCCCCAAAATCAGAACGGGTAGATGCCGAATCGCGTTTTGTGTGTTGATTACCTCCCACTCATCCTCTGGTTCAATAGATAGAAAATACCACATCGGATGTGGTGCACGGTGCACGTCGGCGTCATATAAGTCACTGCATGGACAGTATGATGGGCTGAAGTCCGGGGTTCGACTGCCCACATCCGAGTAGTTTCGGCTTGAATAGATTTTTTGCCACCCGCATCTTGAGAGCCGGTGTAGTTGTCCCGCGCTTTCAAGAATCAGAAGGGGTGCGCGCCGCAAAATCATAACGGGTGCGCTTCCAAAAATCAGAGCGGGTATGTCAGAAAAATCTTGATCAGCTTCGAACGTCCTGGGACAAGTCCCAGGACGTCGCAAGGTCATATGGTTTTAAGTGCCTTGCAACACAGAGGTAAGAAATCCGCAACCTCTTCCGAGACACTCCGCGACTCCCAGGGTCTCTTAAGGCGCCCGTGTGACAGCCGACGTCCCAGTGGAACTCAAGGCTCCACAAGCCCTGCGTACCTCTCAACAGCCGATATACATGCAGCCTTGCTCGGCTCAGAATATTTGCATCGGGGTACCAAAAAATTCGTTCAAATCAATGTATTAATCAATACTACTACCACAGCTATGAGGTACAACATAGTTGTAGTGGGGCGACGGCGTCCAGCGATGTGTAAGAAATTAATTCTAGAATTCTAGCTTCTGAGTTAGCAGTACGTGAGACGGGAACACTTCATACACACATTGTGAGAATGAACATCATAACAAAGAATGGAATTAAAGCCCTGAGCATGGTAGCATTAGATAATAGTGGTCAGAAGAGGACGCATAGATACCTGCGCCAGAATCAACCCTAGAAGCAGCCGAGCTCGGATGAGTAGTGGTGCGAATTGGAGCAAGCATACAACGTACCCGCGTCGACGTGCGTGGTAAGAAACAACCCTGTATGAGATCAGCAGTTGGCCGCCGCAACCGAAAGATTACACACCTGGGTGGGACGAGGGGATGGTGGTGGTACGAAGACAAGAGAGGTGGAGTCATGGCGTCACAGGCTGCCGATTGATATAGCACGGGTGACGTCACTTGCTCCACCTCGTTGACAAGATGCTGCGAGTACCCCCAACTCATTATCCTCAAGCACACTCACCTGGACCCAATGCCTCTCCTTCACCATACAGACTCGGATACGACACATGTCTCTGACTCCGAACCCGAGCAAGAAGCTCGCCGTTACGTACGCGACAATTCTGACCGCTCGTCGCCTGACTCCTCTGCACCAAACTCGCCACGCCGTACGCCGCTCTCAGCAATTTCCAATACTGTGGTGGACACCGAACCTAGTTCGCGGCGTGCTCTCGACAGTCGCCTCTCGGCCATTGAAGGAGATATAGCCGAGATTAAAGACGCGCTTAAAGCGCTGAGATGCCGAAGTGTGTCCTACTTACCTCTCAGTGTGGGCATATATTAACATATTTTTTCAGAACGCAACAGAGCGTCCCCTGTCGGCGGCTCGCCCCCTTCCACTCCACTCCCAAAACGCGCGCGCATAATGCGCGATAAGGCGGTGGGCCCCAACTCACCCGTGGGTCGACTCGAAGAGCCCCGAATCCATCGCAGTTCCCTGATGGTCAGCACTCCGGAGCGGGAGGAAATAGGACGTTGTTTGGACGAGAGTTTGCAGCAGACTTCTGCACCGCGTACCATCCTTCTAGGGCTGCCGCCCGTTGCCGTGACGGCAACGGCCGTCGATTTACGGCCCGTGGAGTGGTCGAAAAATATCCTGACGGGACGGGATGGTCAACGGCACGGTCGTACCGGGTGTTGAACGGCACACGGGTCGGTTGAAATTTAATTTTGTGTGTATCAATGTAGGATTGACTTATGTGCAAGCTATCTGTATTTTTGGATGTCTAGGTGTGTTCCACCGCTTCAATATTCAAAATATGTCGCATTCTACAGTGAGAAAGCTGTTTCTTTGCTTACCGAACTAGATTTAAACTCCGCCATCACTCGCGGCAAATGCCGTGAACCAACCTAAACCTCAAAATATGACATTTGGCGGAGAACAACAGTCATTCTGGGCTAAGCTTAGTATTTTTAGGTGTCCCTATAGTCTATCACAAAGAAATCTACCCCTGTATCAGCATTTCAGAGTGCGGGAAAACTGCAGCCGTTGGACGGCCGTCACGGCCGTGTTTCAACGGGCCGTCAGAGTGGATGAAAAATGCTTGACGGAACGGGCACGGCACCCCGTCGACGGGTGCCGTGGAACCGTGGCAACGGGCACGGGCGGCAGCCCTACATCCTTCATGAACGGGTAAGTATTTGACCCGAAGAGTATAGGAGTTCACGTAGATATATGTTCATTATTCCAATTTTACTTGTCCTTCTTGCAGGAGGAACGACGAGGACATGTATCTGCGAGTGCATAATGTAGATTAATTCTTTTCTTCACTTCTTGTTCGTCCCTCTTCACCGCAAAACATTAGCTTTGCGACATGTACCTTGGGACGGCATGAGACGGCTTGGAACTCACCTCAAGCCTTCGAACGGCTTGAGACTGGTTCTAAGTTCCCCTGCCACGCCTTCGAAGCTCTCTGAAGCCATCCCAAGGTCCCAAGGAGACTCAGGCCGTTGCAAGCTAACTGGCTTTTTTCCGACATAGATGCTAAATCCCGTTTTGTGTGTTGATTATTTTCTCACTCATCTGCTGGTTCAGTAGATAGAAAATAACTCGGATGTGGTGCACGGTGCACGTCAGTGTCAAATCGCGAAAAGGTCCAGTGGCTGGGCTGAAGACCAGGATTCGACTCCCCGCATCCGATTACCCTCATCACTTTTTTTTCTTTCTGTCTTTCCTGCTCCAATAGATTTTGGCTACCCTCATCAGCAAATAAAGAGCTCAAGCTGTGCATCCTTTAACCCCTCTTTCAAATCTGTAAGTTGGACGTGTAAAAATAATTCGCTGCTGGCACACCAAGTTGACTCACAGTATTATTTCTGTTGTTTGATGTTCAATCAGTGTAATTATCTCTCACTCATCCTCTGGTTCAGATAACGGTAAGTAATTCGGACGTGGTGCACGGTGCACGTCAGCCTCACTTGGATTACAATCTCGTAATGGCTGAAGTCCGGGGTTCGACTCCCCGTGTCCGAACTTCAGTACTCTAGAAGAAATCTTTTTTAACTTCGTTCCTGCCTCAGTAAAAATTCACTATACAAACTGTTCATTCGTTAGTCTCCCCTTTTCAGTGTGACGTTCCCGATGTTGCAAAAATAAACTGCGCGCACGCGAACTCTGCACGAAGTTTTTTTTGTTGACCTCAAGGATATCTGGTCATTGGGTACATAATTGGCTGCCAGTATCTATAGATACATTGCTGGCTGGAACGGAGGCTTGGATTGCTTCCTGAGACCGCCCGGAAGCCTGCCGAAGAATTGATCGCTGTTTTGATGCGATCAAATTACAGTTGAAGTGGTCATTTTGAGGCTTAAATGTGAAGGGTTAAGAAAGGCGGCTGACAACCACCGAAACTTCTTCAATGGCATGGAGGCAAAGTAGAAAAAGACGGGGAAAAAACTCGCATATTTCACGCGCACAATTCTTTTTTTTTTTTTCAACATCTGGAATGTGATACCCGAACAATACCGATAGTGGTCGTTCACGCGGCTTGCTTCTCGCCTCGGTTAACCCTCCACATTTAAGCCTCAAGGACACTGCCAACCATACCGTCACGGGAGACCAGTGGAATGACACAATCTGGGTGATACAGGTCAATCCATCTCGACCAAACCAATTTAAAAACCTGTTTATAAACTGGTATACATACAGGAATTACACAGCCAACCAAAAGGTGAGGAGTCTCTGAATGATATTTTTTCGCTCTTGAGCTCAAGATATTTTTGAGTCGTACCCATCCTCGGCACTTAGTTACTTCGCTTAGCGTTGCGGAAGTTCGTCACTTTGATGGGAAAGTGTGAAAGTTCGTAATTTCAATGAATAATTGAGAAAGCTCGTCACTTCAATTAATGCAGCCTTCAACATGTTTTTTTTTTCATTTGCGTGAAGAGGACCAACCATTCGATGCCCCTCCCCTCCCTCGCTGTGCTCGGGGGGTCCCCCGAGCCGGGGCATCTCAGGTTGGCACGCTAAAGCCTCGTTCCCACGGAAATGTATATCCCTCAACCCTAACACCCTATCCCTAACCTCTAACCCGAAACCCCGAACCTCTAACCCAAACCCTAACCGGCGAATACCCGCATGCGCTTGCCCTAACTGCTCGAAATAGGTTACATGTGAATACAGAATTGATAGCATCAAAATGAGAAAGTTCGTAACTATTCAACTGAAGTCACGAACTTTTACAGAATCCCATCAAACTCACGAACTTTCGCAGCACTAAGCGAAGTAACTAAGTGACGAAGATGGCGCGGACTCCCAGTGCTCTGAGGTGACCCACGAAGTCTACTGATTCCAACCCCGGAAGTTCCTTGAAAATCCAGCCTGCACCCCAAATTTAACTCAGAATTTTCAGAGCAAAGGAATTGAGGCTTTGAGCACATGCTCTCCGCGAATATGAGGGTAAGACTGCGCCCCAGGCTCCGACTTGCTTTTGAGTCTTTCTAGTGTTGTACTGTAACTCATGCACAATGCGAAGTTAGGTCATGCTCAAGTCCATTGAGGTTGTTATCGTCTCCGCCGCATTTAGGCCACCCACGGAATCACCGTATTCCTTAAAGCTGTTGAAAGACCTGCCTGATTTGATGAGCCGCGCGTTGGGACTAGTATTAGGCAGATATTCGAGGAGATTGATATTCGCCCCTTCAAGTTGTTTCTGCTGCTCCTGGCAGTTGTCCAGGGCATACAATATATACACGAGAATTTTATTGCCCACTGATACACGTTGCTTCTTATTTTTATTCTAATTCCAATAGTGGGTGACTTTCCATAAGCATATTTTATTCTGGGGAATATCCGAGCTTCTTTGAGAGTGCCAGTGATGGCATCAATCGATTTAATCGCCGTTTTCTTATGGGAAACCCCTCAGATGAATTTATTTAGTCCAAGCTTTTTTACTTTTCGCTCCGAATTCGATTAGGATTGACAGCTGTTTGAAGCTCAGGTTCGTGCCAAATAACACGTCAACAAACACGCTCTTCCTTGCATACTCCTCGCACAATCCAACAACTATGGATCTTGACACCCTAATACTGCTTCAACACAATGAAGAGAATGAAACACAGTGAGTACGGACACAATTTTGTGGTCTTTATAGTACAGAGGTTCGGACTCGTCAGGGAGGCATCAGGTCAAGTAGACTTTTGTTGAGAGGGAGACTGCCATAATGGATAGCAACATAAAGCAGGAATATATAAATCGTTTCCAGAGAGTATGCCGGAAGGGAGCTATCCAGCCCTGGCGCAGGGTCCGGCGGGCTGAGGAATGTCGTGGCAGAAGAGCGGAGGTAAAGCCGATGATGCGACCAGATGTGACACGAATCCCAATTGGGAACGATGATGGGAGCAGCAGCCGGATTTGTTATATTCTCATAAATGTTGAGGATATGAAAGTCTGTACAGGGGGTAGGTACCCCCTCTTCAGATTTCTATAGATTTGAATAGATCTGCATTAAATGGTGTACGTTTTTAGCACATCAAATTGATGGGGTCCTGACAGCTGACTCGGCATCGCGGCGGAAATGGCTCAGATATTCCCTCAGAATATTTTATGCTTATGGAAAGTCACCCACTGAGTATCTTGGTCAGAGACCAATATCTCCAAATATATTTATTTGACGGGTTACATCCCGGGGAGGCTAACTAAAAAGTTCGTGTCTTTTTTTTAACAAGCGAGACATGAGCTTCATTTGTTAAAGCGTCTGTCTAGGAGAGGCTATTTTTTTGGGGGGGCCCACTGTAAAGTTCAACCGTTGATCTCGGTTACATGTACTTTTTGAGGGGTCTTTACGCATGCTAGCGATAAAGCCCAGGTGGCAGGATGGCCGCATCTCTTCCCAATACGCGCATGGTTCGTGGTCTAGAGAATGCGGCCCGTTCGCTTCGGGTCTTGCGATGGGTCGGGAACAAACGAGGTGTGATGAAAAATCGTGATCTCACTCAGCTTCTGTCTATGTCCAGACGATGCGCAATGCATTGGCGGTCCAAGCGGTAGATCGCAAAGCGGAGTTTCAATACGGATGAGCGGCCCGGACGTCGGAGCTGCTGGCAAACACGGGCACACACCTTCTGGCCAACTACCGCCGCGGCCTACTACTTACTCTGACGACCCAACGCGCTGTTTAGCCTGTTTCTCCTTGAATTCCACGCCGTCTACTGTGCTCTTCTCCCCCGATGGACCAGAACGCGCTGATACTCGACTAGATGTGGCAAAATCTGCAGCAAATCTAAGTCCTGAAAATCTGAGCGCTGCCAAAGAGCTGCCATACTTTCTCCCAGTCCTGCGATGCGGGGTGGCCTTCTGCGCGTGCTGTAACGGAGTCCTGGATACGTGTGTCTCCCCGTGCTGGTTCTCGTCCCAGATTGAGGTTGACTGAAGGCGTAAATTTAAATCGTGAGCAGCCCTTTCTTCTTCTATTCTGAACCCCACTGCGCTCGTGGCCATGCCACTCTTTCACCTTGTTCACACTGGCTCCGCCCCTCCGTCTACCACGCCGTCTGCCTCGATGCTGACTCTCGCTCTCGTTCACTAGTCCAGACCAGCCGAGACGCTTACACTAGGAGTTCGAACCCTTCGGCAACGCGCAGGCACAGGCGCCGCATCCTTCGCCCGCCACGTCCCCAGTACCATCGAGGCCATCCCTGATCGGCATTTGCATATCCACGCGCTATCCGCCCCACAATCCGTATCCCCGCTTTAACACAGCGCCACACGCTACGCATTGGTCCACCACCACCTCGAGGTGTGGCATCGTGGTAGGACTGCAGGCGAGGCGCACGGCCGCGGAAGCCCAAGATCCGTGCCCTCGACATTAGGTACGTCCTTCTCCGCATCTCCCCTCCCCGCCCCCACGCTGTGCCTTCTCTTCTCTTCTCCCCCTCCATCCCCCATCGCTCCTCGTGCGTCCCTCTTCTCACCATTCCGTCCATCTCCACACCCCCTCCGCTCCCAGAATCAGCGCTAACCGCTCCTTTCTTTCTTTGTCCAGCTCTTTTTCATTCCACTTTGCCTTCGTGTGGTGTGCCACTAGAGATCGAGGGCAAATGCGCGCAGCGGGGCTGGTATTTCGTCGGAGCCCTCGCCCACACGGCGCGCGCCTTTTGTCTGTGGTCGTTGCGGCATCGCGGTGGCGGCGTCGCACACCCACCCTCGAGAGGGTGATGCCGTCTCGCACCTTCGGCCACAGACGAGCGTCCTCGTCCTCGTCCTCGTCCTCGTCGCGACTTCGCCCACCCCTGAGCGCGCACTCACCGACGGGCGTGAGACAGCAGCGTCCTCGTCGTAGGGGCTTACGCCTTCGCCCACCAACACGCTTTGCTCGGAACGCGCTGCGCGCGCGGAGCTCAGCAACGCGCACACTTTCTTCCCAAGCGTTCGCGCGGTGTCCTCCTGTCCAGCGCGCGTCTTTGTTTTCTGCTCCCCGGCGTCGCGGCTGCGGCCCTGGCGATACGTGCGTGTGGGCACCGACGTGCGCTCGCGGGACCTGCACTCACCCAGTGCGCGGCTTTCTTTTGCTGCTCCCCGGTATCGCGCGCGCGGGCTTGATGATACGTGCGTCTTCGTGGGCTTGCAGATGCGCCGTCACCCACCGCGCGTCTTTCCCCTGCTCTCGCCGAGACAGCGGGTGTGGGTATGGCGATACGTGCCTCGGCGTGGGCTTGTAGATGCGCAACGTCGCCCCGCCCACCCCCGTCTTTCTTTTCTCCCCGCCGGCATTGCGGGTGCGGGGAGGGGTGTGAGCGCCGGCGTAGGCTTGACGATACTTGTGCGCGGTCGCGCCGCTGGGAAAGGTCTCCGTACTCCCGATCCCGGGGCGAGTGGGTGAGGCAAGATCGTAGGTGCGGGAGGCGGGCGGGCGACATGCTTTGGCGCATCGCGGTGGGGAGCGCGAAGATACGTGCGGCGATTCGGCCAGCGAGAGTGCGGAGGCTCGCTGTCGAGGCGTGCTTGCTTCCTTGCTGGCGACCGCACTTGCTTCCGGAGCGGGTGCGGTGAGATTCAGTGCTCGTTTGGTGTGAATGGAGAGTGCGCACATGCATCGAGGTGGGCGGGGGACGTCTACCCTGCGGTGGGGCGTGGACTTCTTTGATACGGAGCGCGGCTGCAGGCTCGTGCGGGTATGCCGCCGGGGTGGGGGTGCTGCTTTTCCGCTTTCAGCCTCTCTGCGACGAATAGTGTGTGAGGGGGCCGCGCGTGCGTGTAGTGTCGTCTGCGCGGCTTATGCGCGTCGGGGCTGCGCTTCCGAGCTTTCAAGGTGCCAGTAGAAGATGTGGATAGGGGCGGGATACCTACCCGTCGACTGCAATGCCTATTCGTGCCTCTGGCATGCACATCACGCTAGGGGGGACGTGACTTCCGATGGGGGGATGGTCAATCTGCGGTTCCATCGGCAGGCGCACAGGTGTTTGGGGTGCTGTGGTTGTGAGTTTGGGAGTGTGCGTCTTTGGGGACGGCGCAGTGTCAGAGTGCATGGGAGGGGGTATACCCGCGCTTGATCTTGCTCGACGGGAATCCGTCCCTGAGAGGGAAACTAAGGTCTTAAAGCAATCCTATTTTTACTTCATATACTTGTCATAGCCACATTTCAGTCACGGATGTTCTCCGATGCCGAGACATGCAGAACCTCCAATCTTATCTTATCAACAGATTAACGCCAACTAAAGAGCCAACAACAAACTACGGCTGCCTTGTATTCTGCCACCTAGCACAGCCTAGCACCAGCAGCTGCAGCAATGCGCGTACCACAGGAGATCGTCGACGCGATCATCGACCATCTATCGCTTATCGACTCGGAGGACGACGAACGAGAAGCGCGGGTGGGGGCGCTCAGAGCCTGTGCTCTGACCTGTCGGTCGTTTCGCCCCAGGAGCCAAATGCACCTGTTGGCTACGATCTACTGCTCCAGATGGGGTAATAGCGGCCGCATCGACCTCTTCGACCGGCTGCTCGTAGAATCCCCACACATCGGTCCACTCTACGTCAGACACTTCAGTTTGGTTGGGGTCCCCGGCGACTTCCCTGAAGAGGTCGACGTCGTGACGGATTCTATTTTGGTGTCTCGCATTTTGTCCCTCCTGCCGAACTTGGCCCGCCTGAACGTCGTGTCCGCGTCCGATCGTCACCGACGTATTGGGTTCCCCGCAGCAGTTGAAGGAGCACTTTCACTCTTGTCCTTGCGCACTCTCCATCTTTCCGAGTTTCTTTTTCCCGACGCAGCAGCGCTCGACTCCCTTCTGAGTCATGCGAGGGCCTTGCAGGTGTTATCCCTGAGGAGGATATTCTTTCGCCATTACTCTGTAGATCGTACCGGTCCCTCTTCCCGTGGCGTAGCTGTGTCCCTTGCGTCCCTCCAATTGCGAGACGTTAACAAGCAGGAAGTCAATGCGATGCTAGCCGCCTTCAGCGCGGTCGACATCAGGCATTTGCTGTCTCTAGAGGTATCGTCCATGCCGTCAGCGGGTTCGCTCTTGGCTGCAAACGCACATACAATCCAAAGAATGCAGTACCAATTAATCTACAGTGCGTACAGTGCTGTTATCCCGCATTCAATGGTCATTTCTGACACGAGAACAGACCCAGGCAACGATTGTCATGGTGGCAGACCCAGATATATTGGCTGGAAACACGAGTCTGCACTCCATCGAGGTTACCGAGCCCAGCAACGGCATGGCCAAGACCCTGATGGCTTTTGGGAACCTGCGCCACCTCACGGCACTCAAGACAATATCACTGCACTTTTATAGCCCAGTCGACGATTTTCCACTTGGCGTCGACGGATGGGGAGGACTGGATGCGATCCTCACGCAGGCGGGAAACAGCTTGCAGGATGTCCGCATTTATGCCTTCGCTGACGGGCTGCATGAGAAAGTGCCGGAGTTGGCGGCTGTCGACAGCTGGTTGCCGTCTGTAGCAGGACGAATTTCCGTCTACTTCCCATTGAGATACATCTGGGTAGGTAGGTAGGTAGGTAGGTAGTATTACACGGCACGATCCAACTCATGAACACCGGTTTCCAGGAATTATCCCAGTATACAGGCACTAAGTATACTATCGTCCCTGGGCCTCTCCGCACCCTGCTAGCCAAAGCTCCCGGTCGCTATGTTTTCGCACTAAATATTGGTACTCGCAACGCACCGCATGGAAACAATGATGGAAACGGTGATGAGCAGTCACCCATAGACCCTGGTAGAGCTTCGGAGGGGCGGATGGTAGAGTAACGGACTCTACGAGGCTCTACAGAGAAGACGTACTCTATGAGGCACTATCAAGAGACTAGGTCTCTATCACGCGCTATCAAGATGCCTAGTAGCCACGCCTTGGTGGGTTAATTGTAGCATATATGTTCTATATTCCTCGTCAGGGCAGAACCATGTATCGACATTCCCCTGAATGTCTACAGGTTATTGCATTTCGTGCGGTTACACGGTTCGTTTTCGTGCGGTGATGCAGTTTATTCCGTCGAGTCCGTACTGTACGCGGTTGTATGGTAGCAACCGTAACGCATAACGGCGCCTCCAAAAGTTGCCTAAATGGCATACCGTAACGCACAAAATGGCTTTTGGAGGCCAATTCAAGTAAATTTTCGGGCCCTGCGGGGCCGGAGTTGCCTTATTAGGTGATCCGGAGCCCCAAAAGGCAAGCGGTTGCTAACTTGGGGGAAGATTTTTGCGTAACGGCTGAAGTTTGGTTGCCTCCATACAACCGCGTACAGTAGTCATTCTGGGAAAGTCCTGAGAAAACTCAGCAGGATTCGTCTTTCCTGTATGCGACTCAGAAATTCGGGCCTCGTTTCACTGCCCCTAGCGGGATAACAGTGGGCGTTGAACCGAGTTTAAGACTGTGGTTTCTTTGTTGAGTTTTTTTTGGGATGCTATCATTGCGCGGATGAATCTCTGGACCACGCTGATGATGAATATATATATTCCGTACGCATCGTTCTGGGTATCTGTATGAACCTTTGAAGGACTTTGGAAGTCAAACCTGTGAGTCAAATGAAAGCGTGCAACGGTACAACTGCGAATTAATTTACCCTCATCCTCTGGTTCAAGTGGAGCAAATGTATCGGATGTGGTGCACGGTGAACGTCAGCGTCAAATAGATGATCGCCTATGTATTCGTAGTCGCCGAAGTCCGGGGCTCGACTCCCCGCGTCCGAATCCGTCGTATGCAAAACCATTTTTTTTTGGCTTCAGGATGTAGTAGTGCAGTGGAATTGTGCATGAAGATAAAGATAAATAATCATCGTTATCCCATTGCGCGCGCCACATGGTCAAGCAAGCCCGGCGCCAATAAGCTCGGACCGCGCCCAAGGGGTGTTGAAGTCAAGAGCTCTGGACGTGACTACCCAAAATCTCGTTTCCAGGACCCCGGATACCAGAGCCACCAAGTTGACTCACAGTATAATTTCTGTTGTTTGATGTTCAACCAGTGTGATTATTTCTCACTCGACCCAAGGTTCAGATAATGGTACATAATTCGGATGTGGTGTACGGTGCACGTCGGCGTCCCATTAATCGACTGGCTCATACTAGGCTGAAGTCCGGGGTTCGACTCCCCGCATCCGAACTTGCAATCTCGCCAAAAAGGTTTTTTTTCCTCTTTCTTTTCGGCCTGACTAAAAATCCACCAGCAAACAAAAAGACAAGCTGCTCATCCTTTGTGACCTCATACCTAGCTTGAGATGGAAGTAAATAACTCGGATGTGGTGCCACGGTGCACGTCAGCGTCAAATGATCCGCGTATCCGTAATCGCTGAAGTCCGGGGTTCGACTCCCCGTATTTGAATTAGGATTCATCACTAAGTCCTGCTTTTACCGGCCTGAATTTTTTTTTTCGCCACCCGCATCAAAGCAGAGATTCTTCAAGGAAGAATGATGCGGGGGTAGTTGTCCCGCGCACTGCAAAATCATAACGGGGTACGCGTCCCAAATTCATAACAGGGTGCGCTTCCAAAAAAATCAGAACGGGTAGATGCCAAATCGCGTTTTTGTGTGTTGATTATTTCTCACCCATCCTCTGGTTCAATAGATAGAAAGTACCTCGGATGTGGTGCACGGTGCACGTCGGTGTCAAATAGAGGGATGGAACATTTGTAATCGCTGAAGTCCGGGGTTCGACTCCCCGCATCTGAATTTCGTATTCATAAAAAGATTCATATTCCTTTTTTCTCTGAAACGATGATTCAATCCATTGCCTACTCTCAAACGCGTATGCAGCCCTGCTAATTTATGACTCTCAACCTATTATGTACTGCTGGCTGCAGTTAACTTATTCCACGCCAGCCTGCAATGATTCAAAACACCGATTCGTTTTTCACTCATCCTCGGGTTTCAAGCGAAGTAAATGAATCGGATGTGGTGCACGGTGCACGTCGGCGTCAAATTACAAGTCCAAGTGCTCATAATCGCTGAAGTCCGGGGTTCGACTCCCCGCGTCCGAATTCTTCTTGGTCGCTCACTTTTTTTTCTTTCTTTCCTGCTCCAATAAATTTTTGAGCTGTGCATCATTTAATCCCCCTTTCCAGTCTGTTTGGATGTGTAAAAATAATTCGCTGCTGGCCAGCTGAACCTCAACAGATTTTATTTCTGTCTTCGTTGTTCAATCAGTGCAATTATTTCACACTCATCCTCTGGTTCAGATAACGATAAATAATTCGGATGTGGTGCACGGTGCACGTCAGTGTCGAGTAGGTCGACTAGACGAGAAAACTCGTGATGACTGAAGTCCGGGTTTCGACTCCCCGCATCTGAATTCGGATTCACACAAGATTCATATTCCTTTTTCTCTAGGACGATGATTCAATCCCTTGGCCTACTCTCAAACGCGTATTCAACCCTGCTGATTTATGACTCTCACACTATTACTGCTGGCTGCAATGATTCAAGACACAGACTCGTCTTTCACTCATCCTCAGGTTTCAAGCAAAGTAAATGTATCGGATGTGGTGCACGGTGCACGCCAGCCTCACTTGGGCCGCAGATGTCGTGGTCTGAAGTCTGGGGTTCGACTCCCCGTGTCCGAATGATCGCTGAACCACTTCCCCCCCCCCGTCCCGGCATGAATAAAATGAAATTTTGTTTCCTTCACCCAGCTTAAACGGGGCGCATCCGAATTCAGGTAAATGATTTTCCTTCGAAGACTCCGCTGTCCTCCAACGTGATTGAATGCAGTGAACTTTTTGGCACTTGTATACTGAGGTTCGAAGTGGTGCACGGTGCGCGGTACCGCACGTCAGCGTCAAATAAACCCCAGTAATTGACGTACAAGTTCGTAATCGCTGCAAGTCCGGGGTTCGGTCCGACTACTACAACCTGTGCAAACTTTTTTTTGTTTTTTGGCATGTATTAACAAGGTTAAGCGCAAAAGAAAGTCCGGGGTTCGACTCCCGCGTCCGAATTCCATCGTATATGTGTAAGCACTTTTTTTTCTTGGCATCAGGATGTAGTACATAGTAGTGCGGTGGAAGTGTGCAGCACGAAAATAAAATAAAGAAGTTGATCGTTTCGTTCAACATGCCATTAGGGAAGGATTCTGGAGGCGATTCTTATCGACGATTCTCAAGGTGATGCGTGAGAGAATCGCCGTCATGAGAATCACTTTTTAATCGTGTAGAAGCTCCTCTGGAGGCGCTTCTGTGATGATCCTGAGGCGATTGTGATTCTCTGTCAATGGAATTGAATTTGTCCAGAATCGACCGAGCATCCCCACATCAGAATCCACACCAGAATCGCCCCAGAACCGCTACTCTGACTGCCCTATTGCGTGCGCCGCACGGTGAAGCAAGCCCGGCGCCCGACGGCGCCTGCCAAATCTTGCCAAATCCTGCCAAATGCACCGGTCCGCGAGGCTTGCCAAGCGCAGGATAAATTGACAGCCCAAGCCAGTGTTCCGAACAAGAGAACGCCGCTGTTCGGTTCGCTTCAGCGTTCTCCTGTTCCAAAAAAAAACAAAAAGAAGTCGGAGAGAGCGCCGCTGACGCTGACAAGTGATTGGCGAAAAAAAGAGACAATTAGCGCACTGCATCCGCTATATCCGACATGACAGGAGAGGGTGATTGCCGAGGGCTTTATTTGAATTTTACAGGGGGGGGGGGGGATATATTATACTCGCGTGGTCCACAACATGAACAACGAGTTTACAGAAGACATACAAGTAGTACTATCAGGGTGGTTATCCGTCTAGAATTCTGCAAGATGTCAACTGAGCACAACACCATTCCAGGGGATCGATCACACAAGACGCTGGCCGAACTGCGACTGGCCGGCCATTCGGCGGGACCTCCGGTTGTACCTGACCACAAGCCGAAGGCGCAAGTGTACGGGAGGAGGGTCCCTCCTCCCAGGCAAAATTCCCCGGTATCCACCAGTCAACAGAAGGCTGTCGCATGTCTTCCCTTTGCAGAGTGCATGCGAGACCACAGATCAGCGTGTTCAACTTCCGAGGAAGGATCACAGCTGACAATAAAACCAGTCTCGTGGCCTGAGAAAGGAGTGAACGGAGCAGGCAAGGTAGCGAAAGAATACAGTACTGTGTGAGTTTAGGTCGATCTCAAAAGTTGTATACTGGAATGAATGAACCAACACCAGACGGTTGCTGCGTTTGCATTTACTGTCGGTGGGTCAAGTTGAACGAACATTAAGTGACTTCGTTGTTCAATCACGGATTATTTCTTAGGTTCAAGTGGATTGGATGGATGTGGTGCACGGTGCACGTCAGCGTCAAATGTGTCGAGTAAGTTTGGATAGTAATGCATGAGGCTTGAAGTGCGGGCGGGGCTCGACTCTCCGCGTCTGAATGAGCGGTTAAATATATATATATATATATTAGTGTTGATGTGGTGCAGTGGAGGTAGGTGTGCATGCATCGCTGCAATTCACGTCAAGCGGTCTAGCAAGCCCGGCTCCGGAAGATAAAGAACGCCAGGTGAACTACTTCCTTTCCCAGACTTCCGTTGGTATTCCGAAAGAAGAGAGCGCTAATCGGTATCCTGAAGCAGCATAAAATAAAGGCCTTCAGTATGCATGACGTGGATAAATACGGAATAAGCAAAGTCGTTGAAATGGCGCTGAACCGCGTCAATCCTGATGGAAAGTTACCTATTCATTTGAGTTTCGATATCGACGCGCTGGATCCCTTTGTGGCCCCTTCGACCGTATATCCGGTATGTTGGACAGCGCCTTCCGAGAAATATGATTGGTACTCATCCCCAAAGCGAAGGTTGACGGAGGACTCACTGTGGGAGACTGGACTGTTGGTTGCAATGGATTTAGTGGTAGGTATACAGTCTAACTGAGCTCTGCGCTCACTGGATGATTCGCGTTCTAGGAGGTGAACCCTCCGGTGGGCGACGCTCATAGTGTCAAACGCACGGTTAATGTCGGATGTTCTTTAATTTGGGCGGCACTGGGTATGTGTTCAAAATTTCCTCCGGATTTGGATTTACTGTGACCTCACTATAAGTGAAACTGTTTTGTTGCCATCATTGGCTTGCGAAACATCTAAGGAATCATTATCTTCATTTTGTCTGGTTCTGCGAGAACACCGAGACGCGGGCACTTTTGCTGCAATTGTTTTCCAAGATAAATTATTCTCCATGCGTCCCATCCCTTTGGTTACTCGTGAGTTGCCGGAACTGTCCTTCTGCGCTTGTGGATGATTGCCATGAGGTCGACCAGAATCCCGCTCGGCTAGAGGTGGAAACAAGTCATAGTTAGTAGCACGGAAACCGGGCCGGGTAGACTGAACTGCATGCGTACAAGTATTAGACTAATTGGTCAAAAAATCATATCGCTGCCTAGATAATCAGATTTGAGAACAGACAAATCCAAACATGCCGCTACTGAGCTGAGTCATCATCCACATTGGCTCCTAACTGCTTCTTTGCATCTTACGATCTCACCCCATTTTTGTGCTCTGTCAGCGTACCGCCCACTCGTTATAACGAGGATTCTCGACTACTGGGCCCTGGCAGTGTAGGTTCAAGTTCCAAGGATCCAAGTGGTCCCAATTCCCAATCCACGATTCACCCTTTTCAGAACGAGGTTACAGTGGGAAGTACGTCAGGAGAAACTACGCTGTGCCAGGAACTGGGTTACCCCATGCCCCTCCCGCCGGCCGCATGCCATGTCGCTATTGGGTGTACAAACTGCCTCCGTACTAGGAGCGGCGATCCGACGTTGAAATTGCTTCGATGTGCGAAGGTATGTCGCTACCGTGGCTCATGCGCCGTTGTCACTCATGGCTCAATGCGCAGTGCAAGGACGTCGCCTATTGCTCCAAAGAGGTACGTTTCTTTGAAGGTCAGGTTTGGGCCGGTCGCAGACGCTCATGGAATGAATGCGCCAGTGCCAGAGCGAACATTGGTACGTAGGACTCGAAGCCCTCATCGTGTGGATCTTGATTTCCGTCCCTTGGAGGCCAACACACAGGGAATGCTGCAACACAGCCGACGGTTCCAGCATCCGTTCCATCTCTCTAAAGTTCGTCAGCAGCGATATAGGCTACGTTTGTCTTCAAGCATGCTTTATCTTGCACTTTGATCTCCTCCACAATCCCCAACTCGGCATCGACAAACCCTTTGTTGCCCTTTTGGATTTCGGAATAGAACCTGCTAAAATGAAAAATTTCATTGGCATCCTTCTTGATCAGCAGATCTCCGACAGGGGCAAGGGCATGCTACAAGTGAACGCATTTGAGGCGCTCACACCCGCCGAGGCAGAAGAGACTCTCACGCCCGCCAAGCTGGGATCGTGGCGTGCTGCTAGAGAGGAGCTCAACCGTCAGGGCCTTGTTGAGCATCAAGTGGGACTTGTACAAATCGGCAACAGTGCAGGTAGCCCGAGAGGGGCGCTGCCAGTCGTGATTGATAGAAAGGCGGTAGAGACGCTTGCAAAGTCGCCTTTCACTATTTATGGCTGGATGGAGTGCGTTGGAATCCGTTCAATTTATCTTCACGTATAACTCAGCTCATTGTCCCCAGGCACACGAACACTATGATTCGGGAAGACACCGGCAACGCGCTCCGTCTTCGCAAAGATATGGAACCCTCAGACATCAAGGTCATCATGGACCTTGTTCGCGATATGGAGAATCCCTGCGCGCAAAATTTGTGGGCCAAGATGGAAAGAGAAGC